GTGTGCCTTAATCAGCTGGCTAAGGATCCAGGCGTCGGCATCGCTCGGATTGTCTGCAGACTGCTTGCATAAACCCTAGACCCAGAGAGCACTGAACCCTGAACCCTAAGGGTCCATGTGCCCAAACTAAGTATATACTGTGGCCTTAAAGCGATCCCTGTTTAGGTGCTGTGGGGCTGAAGAAGAAACTATTCGGCTACATGGACCCGTAAGGAATGATAACAGTTGCAGTAGTAAGACAAATAAAAGCATCATATTATTGAGCCCCTCAGCCCTAAACCCTAAACTCTCAAACCCCTAGGCCAACCCTAAACCATAATCCCTAAACCCTCGAACCCCTAAACCGAGTCCGAGGCACAGTATTCGGCCAAGGGGGACTGAAGAGCTTCCCAGTGTTCTTGGTCGAAACGATCCGTGGGGACGCTGGCATCGTCCACGACGATCCTGTGCTTCGGGCTTATGGGGTTTGGGTTTAGGGTTTGGGGCCGTTTGGGGTTCCACTTTATAGGATTTGAGGTTTAGGATTTAAGGCCTAGGATCTAAAAGGGTTTAGGGTTTAGCAGCAGGGTTTGCGTTGGAGGGAAGCCGAGGAATTATTGAGGCCTCTCTACCTCAAAAACAAGACAGAGTCAAACCTTGTCTTTGGATTCAATTTGCGTAGAAGGGGCATAAGTGATGTGTACATGTACATGTATATCTATATATATATATATATGCACATGTATGTATGTATGTATGTATGTATGTATGTATGTAGGTAGGCATGTATGTATGTATGTATGTATGTATGTATGTATGTATCCATGTATGTATGTATGTATGTTTGTATGTATGATTGTATGTATGTATGTATGTATGTATGTATGTATGTATGTATGTATGTATCTATGTATGTATGTATGTATGTATGTATGTATGTATGTATGTATGAACGCATGTATGTATGTATGTATGTATGTATGTATGTATGTATGTATGTATCTATGTATCTATGTATCTATGTATGCATGCATG